TTAGACCGTATGGCAGATCCTACTTACTCTATTGCGGATCCCAAGTGGCGTTCATCGAGTTCTATATTGATTCCTAGAAGGGTAGAAGGAGTATTCGCCTAAAGGAAAAAAAGACTCAGAAGAAGCAGAGTTGATTTTTTTATATTTGTTGGGCTCATGTTTGCTTCTTGGGGTTTTTTGTTTGCGGAAACATGATCTAGAGGGACATCTTGTTGGCGGATCTTCTTTTCGAGCTTCTCTTTACATCGGAGGGGTGATGATATGGTGTTGGATTTTGCTTGCTTATTTTAAATCATTTGTTTTCTCCTTTCATTAGAGCTAGTTGTTTCGTTTTTGCTTTAGCTTTGGGCTAGTACTCATTAGCGATTGTACTCTTCTCCTTTTTTAATAAAGTTTTTCTTTTCCAAAAGAAAAAAAAGGAGAGTTTAAGGTGGTTTTAAAAGTGTGAGATTGTTTTTTTGGGTAAAAGTGTGAGATTGTTTCTAAAACACTTACGTGCGATAATTTAAACGTAAGAAATAAAAAAAATGATCATGTGAAAAGCATGAATTAGGATGCTTTTCAAATTGAAGCCAAAATGGAGTAAAAGAGGAATATGTATAGTAAAAAAGTAGGCCTAATGGATAGTTTCACATTTTTACCAGAATTAGAAATAAAATAATTATGAAGTTAATTTTGAGGCTCTCAAATAGAAAAGGCCGAAGTTAACTACGGGATTTCGGGATGGAGAGTAATAATTTTGCAATGCCATATCTCAGTTGCATATCTTGCAAAATGCAAATTTTGCAATAATTTTTCGGTGCTTGTGCTTTTCTTCCTTTACAAGGCGTGTGTTTCATCTTTATGGACAGATACATGTTATAGATGAAAAGTTGGCGTGGAGATAGTGCCGGCTAGTGTCGAAGAGAATGAGATGGATGGATGATTTGGAGGATGATGAAGAATAGCCAATGATGAAGAGCCGCAGTTGGGCAGGCGGCAAAGAGATACTATAGTTAGCCTGAACGGTGACGATGAAACATGCGTCCCTACTCGCCTCAAACAAACAAAAAAATCCATATAATGCATAGCTGACCAACACAGAATGAATCGGAAAAAGTAAGGGAAAAGATTAAAAGAAAAGGAAAAGGAAGAAAATAAGGAAATAAAGAAGAAATGATAGACGAGTGATATGGGAGTTACACGCAAAAAGTGATACGGGAGTGATGGAAGAAAGAATACACGAACGAATATAAAGAAGAAAGTAGAAAAAAGTAAAAAGAAAGAAGGAAAAATAATCTTATTTGAGATTAATACGATTTTAAAAAAATACATAATAATACCATTTTATAAGTTATGCTGAATGATATACAGTGGCCGATCTTGGATGTTAGTTTTGAAGGTTCAAATTTATTTTATAAAATTTGGGTGTTCATATACTTATAGAAAATTTTACATGTATTTTTACACTACTAGTTATAAAATTTGGGTGTTCACATGAACACCTTTGACCTATAATAGGTCCGCCCCTGATGATATAGTCAAATATTCTACAAATTAATACACATTTTGACCGTTACACATACCGAGAAAGTGTGTATTAGGCTCAGTATGCAAAACCCAATATTTATTATTAAGGAAATTATCATTTACCACCCTTGAGGTTTCATGTATTATCACCCTTAAGGTTTCATGTATTATCACCTAGACCCCTGCACTATTAAAAATATACACTTACCCCCCTCCCTATCCTTTAGTGAAAGTTTAATAACTCTTAATTACGTTTAGAAATAGTATAAATTCAGTTTTATAAATTTACTCACTTGCATATTTAACCTGATAATTAATAAATTTACTTGTATTCAAAATCTTTCCACCAGAAAGTACTTTTTTGCAAGAACGCGTACTTTCCAATGAAATAGTCCTTATTATTGACAAGGTACATAACTACATCTACATGTGAGTAAAATTATACACTTAGAAGACAAAATCGAAAGGTACGAGCTTAAAACCATAAATCTCTGTAACTTTTAAAAGTTCAAAAATATATTTGAGGTTGTAGAAATCTTGGTGAAACTTTTCTGACGAGAGAAAAATGTCTAATAACGAGGAATGTTATTTTATACGTAAAACAGATGTTGTTGAAGGACTTTTAGGACACTATTGTTACCTATTGTAAATTTGTATGAGAAGTACTTACTGTTGTTCATATTAGGGGAGGACAAGGCCCGGTCTCGAGAATGACCGATTTTTTAATTAAGATTTTAGGTTGGGATCGAGACCAGACCAGTGAACAAGAGGCCTCAGGCCTCACTTTTTGGACCAGGATTGGAGCCCATGTTTTGACCCCGTTCATTTTTCATTAAAAATTGAAAACATTTTAAAATTGGTTATAGTCCGTTTAAAAGTTAAAAAATAGGTAGTTAAATATTTAAATTATCGGGAGCGAACCTAGACAAATTAGGAGATTAGAACCGAAGATAAGGTCATGGGCCACACTAATTATTTAGCAATAACCAGTTTGGGTGTGAAACTCATGATAAATTATAATGTCTTTACCAGTATTTTACATGTAAACATGTTCATATCTTGTCAAATGTTAAATTACAAGTTATATTATACATATAATGATCTCATTTTCAGTGATAAAAAAGTTTCTAGAGTGCGAAATGGGAATTTTCTTGCATTCAATCTTTAATGGTAAAACCGAGTAGTCAACATCACTTTTGAGTCGGTTTGGTTCAATTAAGTTGATTTGTTTCAGTTCTTGACAAATTTAGCTTATTTTGATCATTTTCATGCCAGTTGAGTATATTTAGTCACTTTACAAATTCAAAGGTATAAAACGAACTACCTAGAGTGGGGTCAGTTTTGTTCGACTTCCGATAAAAATGTCATTAATATGGACAAATTTATTAATTACCGGATCAAATTTGTGATTGAATAAAATTACAGTATTAAAAGCGGACCTAACGAAAAATAATGAAATTATATCTATAGTTTTCTCTAAATATAGATTAGAAGTTATTTAATCATCATTAAAGGATACGGAGGGGGGTAAATGTATATTTTTGATAGTATAGGGGTGTGATTGATAATGCATCAAACCTCAAGGGAGGTCAATGATAATTCCCTTATTATTATCAATACTATTATATCACTATCGTATATACTACGGAGTATGCTTTTATATTCTCAATATTTCAAGATACTTTTTGTGACTCAATTTCTAGCCTATTCTATGAGCTTTATCTGCGAAACAAAGAGACACGGAGTGTCAAGTTATACGTCTCTACAAGAACCAATACTTTTATTTAATTATCATCATCATTTCCCCAATGCCGCAAAGGCTCTCACCTACAGTAGGGTAAGGGGGGTCGGATGTACGCAGCCTTACCCCTATACTAAAGCACGGAGAAACTGTTTTCGGATGACCCAAAGTGAAAATCGCGTTAAAAATGCATGGACCGACTGATGCTTCATAACAAAGAAGCGCAGACTATTTAGTTAGCTATTTTGTTTTATTCCATCATATTGCTAAGCCAAAAAATAATGAATCTCTGGCTCCATTGCTAACGATGGAAATCGATACTTTAATTGAATAACAGTACTAATTTTCTATGAGAAACCTTGAAATTTTTTAATATTGAAGATATATTTTTCTTTTAAGCTTGCGCACTTTGTTTTACATTTCATACACATGTCTTGTTATTTTCACAAAGCTTATAATGTTGTGCATATCATAATTGACGGGTCTATCCGATCCGGTTCTGATACCCGTTGGGTCCAAATTTGGGTTCAAACCTTCAGACCCGCCGAGTATATAGGTTGGGTTCGGGTCATTTATTAACTTAGCGGGTCTAGGTCCGAAACACTGGGTTCCCACCCGAACCCGAACCATTAACAGACCTATATACGATAAGGCCCGAGATAATTTGTGAATTCTTCCTTTAAAATAAAGGCGGATGGAAAACCCATTTTGGACCGCTTCCTTAACAGAATCTCTATCAATTCTTGTATATTTAATTTTTGTTCAAGTAGCGAATTGAACTCAACCCTTATTAAATGCAAACATTCTAATAAGTAGTGGTGGACTCGGGCCGGGTGGCCCAACCCGGAACCGGGCCGGTACTGTTGGGCCCGACCCGACCCGGTGGCCCGGCCAGGGACCGGTCCAGGTATGCCCGGCCCGGGGGGTTTTCCGGTGCGGGCTCGGGTCATGTAAATAAGGAACTGGCCCGGCCCGGCCCGGCCCGGCCCGGTTCGGGCCATATTTTTTTTGAAAACCCGGGTTGTGCTGGGTATTCTGGGCCATTTGCCCATTTGGGGTGGTTTAGGGGTGGGGTGGGGGGGAGGGGGTCGGGTGTTAATTAGGAAAAGGAAGAAAAATAGAAATTGGCTCGAGGCCCGACCCGGCGACAACCCGGGTCGGTCCCGGTCCTTCCCCCAAACACAAAAGGCCCGGCTAGGCCTAGGCCCAAACCTTAACCAGCCCGGCTCCACCCCTACTAATAAGATATATAAAGGTAGTACTAAACATTCATTGAAATATGAAAATACTTCTTGCCTCACATAAAATTCTTTCCACTTATCATTTTGAGATTCCAAAAAATCTTTCAGATCTCATTTTTGGAAAGTTTTGTGCACCTAGCATTCATTTATTTTTTTTACGCAATCACAACCATACATTTTCACGTTATTTTAATTATCTATACATTTTCACGTTATTTTAATTATCTTAGACTCCGGTCTGAATCAAATCGGGAAGAATTTTATGGATCGGAGTTAGTATATAAAGCTAGAGATGTTCATTACTAAGATATTTTAAACAGCGTTAATCCGGTTGGGACCGGTCCCAAGCTATTTAAACTTTTACACTATACACAGTGTTGGGCTTGTACTGGTTCCAGATATGGTCCGGACCTTGTATGTTCCAATTTAAACAGCCCCAGATCAAGCTTTGTACTTGCCCAGTTCGTGCAATTCTGGAACCAAATGCACAACTGCATTTGAAAGAATTCTAGGGAAAATGGCTTCCATGCAAAATTTCGAATGAAAGAAATAATGTCAAAATTTTAGAGCATCAGAATCAAACAAACACAGTCAAGACCCACAAACAATGCAAAAGATGTAGTACCTTTTAGATTGAAGAAAAGAGAAAAGCAACCAAAGAGGACAAAAAGAACGAGTTGATTGTATGTTTGCACACTTAAAAAAGAGAATAAAGATGAAACAAAACTCTAACATCTTCTCACGCTTGATATTCAACACCCCGAGTCCATGAGTACTAGCGCTGATATTGGGATCTTTCAAAGAAGGCTTCATACAACATTCTCTACCACAAAGAATAGTGATAACCTGCATCACACAGCACGATAGCCATTGCTCTTCGCCCTGTTATAATCAACGTTGTCTTGATAGCTTCCCCTTCCGTATGAACGTCCCCCAGGATGACCTCCTCTACCTCTTCCACCCCTTCCTGATCAATGCAATTCCAAAATTCAGCATTCTTGTAGGTTTATATCATGTAACTGTGAAATAATGGCTAAAAACAAAAATTGGGCTTCATAACAAAACACAAAAAAGGGGAAGAGATAACAAATGTCACATGCCAAGGAACATGTCACATGCCAAGGAAACCAACAGAAATCACATAAATGGAACTAATAAGAACGCAAAAACAAGGACAAGCCAAAAAAGATTGAAGTTCAAACAGGGATTTTACACATGAAAAAAAGATATTTCAAAGAACATACTTCCTCCACGTGAAGCGTTGCTGCTGTTACTGCTGCTGTTATTTTGTCTCCTCTCCTCAATATAGACTTGTCTTCCATCTATTTGTATTGGAGAAGCCTAAAAAAGAAAGAGACATGACACATATCACTGAAGATGTATAATGCAGTCGTTAAATATTTAGATGAATGCTAATAAAGCAGATGATAATATGCTCAAGGAGTTAGGGAATCATTAAAGGATCAACACATAATAAATAATGACGAGCATGTAGGTAAACTGCAGATAGTCTTGCTGACAGCAAAAGATGAAACATCTTGCATTTCCATAAGGAATTCCTCTCTTCAATTGTTGCTAAATATAAAAATAATACTCCATTTGTACCAAAAAGAGTCCTATTTTTAACTTTTCCAAGATGCAACTATTAGAAGTCATGGAATGCCCACTTCTTGGTGTTTTTTTTAAACTAACATGAAAATTTTGATCTACTTTATGAAATGGTACTGCTTTGTGATTAAAGAAAGTTTTGAAGATTTTTTACCAACAGAATAACAAAAAATTCTAGTGAGAACTGAGAACTCAAGCTAGATGGTTACAGACCTTGAGTGCATTCTGAACGCCCTGGACGTCTTCAAACTCAACAAACGCATAGCATACACCTACATCCTGAACATCAATTGCAATCCTAGTATATTACTGTGTCTCTATTTTAAGGCACAAAATAATAATAGTAATTAACCAAAGAGAATTAACCAAAACCTTTCTGTTTCTCAAGAACACTCCATCTTGCTTGATCGTCCCAAAGTAGTGGAACTCTTTAACAATATCATTAGTTGATACCGTAGTTGGTAAGTTCCTAACGTACACTGACAATGAGTCCCCTGCCACAGAAAAAAGATCCATCACATCATTTTTTGCTTAGCAAACAAAGTACCAGTTAAATCAAAATAGACTACAAATCATATATGTGTACACCCTAGTAAAAACAAGACTGAAACTAACCTTCTTGATAAAAAACTTCATCAGCCTGTTCATAGCTGTTATCAGGCACAACAGTTGAGACAGAGTTTGACTGCTGGATAACTGGCTCCCATTCTGAAGAAGGAGGTGTGCTTTTGGTGAAAGAAGGCTGCACGCTAATAGAAGGTGGAGATTTTACCTTCGGTGCACGCAACTGTATGTCATTTTTAACTTTATGTCAATTTGTAGGAAAGAAGTACACTCAGCATATAAAGACATTCAGCATTAACGGATCAATAGATCTGAGGAATCCTAATTACATGTACAAGTCCCCACTATATGGAGCTAACGTCTACATTCATCCAGAGTGGACAGTGATATATGATACTACATTCATTGCGAAAATGTCTTCATACTATGATATTTGTGTACAGTAAAATTTCTTCATTTTGCAGGGTGCAACTCTTAAAAGTAACGGTATCCTGAACATATTTGTGAGTTTTATTTAAATTTGAATGAAAAATAGCTATGTTTAATGAAATACTACCTCCGTCCCACTAAGATTGGGACAAGAGAAGGTGGCACGATTATTAAGAACAGTGGGTTTGTGTGGTTGATATTAAATTGATAAAGTAAGAATGGTTTAGAGCCACACAAACTTTACCAAGTTTGGTATGGGACAATCTTAGTGGGACTTCCCAAAAAGGTAAAATGGGACAATCTTAGCGGGACGGAAAGAGTAAAACTTGGGGGGGGACAAAAACCTTTGAAAGATTACTCTTCTATCAATCTATGGGATGGCAGAATACATATTGTACGGCTAAAGTGCATGTCAAATCGGAATACGCAAACCGTGTAGTAAAGCTTAAACTGCAAGGGATACGCACTATGGAAGCATAGCTAAGTTTTGTCATCTCTCCAACAGGTTCTTCCCACGATGGTTCAGAAACCTCAACAGCTTTCGCATTACTTTGCCAAGCAACTTGCTCTTGTTCCAAATGAGGTTCTTCCCACGATGGTTCAGAAACCTCGGGGACATGTTCTGGCAAATCTTGCTGGTACTCGGAATTGTCATATTCACCAACAGAATTATTTCCTTCTAGACTGACCAAGTTAACATATTCCCTTGCCTCCTCCTCCAGTGCATAGTCAGAGGCTGCCAAAGAAAGTAAAGCAGCCACAACAACATTAGCATAGTGCTATGATACACCGCTGTAAATAAACCTATTCTATAAATTACGCAGGCAATGATCTACCATGCAATTTAACCTGAAGGGATGGAGGCATAAACATTAACATGCAGTGTTAATGAGACCACCAGTTGCTAGTAACCAAACAGCTCTAATGGCCATTAATTCACGTGAGATAGAAAGACTATAAGCTATCTGACGCTAGCTGGCAAGCAATTTTAAGTGTTCAGGCAGGAGATGAACATATTATGCATCTCAAGGGGTGAGGATGGGCAGAGAGAATACCAGGAAGCCAACCTTAGAGAATGGCCACTAACCAAGATGACAACAACTTGATGAAAAGAAAAAGGTGTGATGAATAATGTACACACCTTTCTAATTTGAAATCACTAAAAGATCGTGATAAGATACTGAAGGAATGAACACCACTAATCACTACAAGAAGAAAAAGAAACCTGGTGTCTCAGGGTGAAGATAATGGGCAGTTGGTTGAGCATCAAAATGGTTCTCTGAAACAGGCACATGTGGTGGGGGTGGCGGCGGCGGTTGGTACTTCACCTCCTCATCTCCAAAATTAAAGACATCGTTAAGAACAAAGTACCCTTTATCCTGTGGAGCAAGGAAAAATGTCTGCACAAAGTCTCTCCATCCACCAAAATCCTTAAGTTTTACTGTGCCAGAAACCACAACAAGAACACCAGCATTCCAAGACTCAACCGAATTTATTGTTTTAACCTTAATCCCTGAGAAAGGTGTTGACATGATAAGTGAGTGTATGTCCTGCACAAAAAATGGATGTTAAAATGAAGGCATGAGGCTTGTAAAAGGTCCACTGCTGAAAAAAACACTACAAAGAGAACTGAGATGCACAAACAGCCACATATTTCCAATTTGAAGGGAAAATAGCCTAATGTTTCTTTTGGATTGAGTTGAACACTGGGGTTAATTGTGATGGATTGGGATAAATGTCATTTTCCAACAAGCAAGGTTAAAGACAAAATTCACCTAGGTAGAGGCCGTAGAGCTAATATTCTACCAGTTTGAGATCATATAGGTGAACCTCTCAACCTCAATCCAAACAAATTGATTATTTCACGAGGCAGAGCAACTGGCTATAATACAAATAGAACTCAGGCGAAATTTCAAATGGAAATCATTATAAGGGGACCGACCCAACGACCCGTGACATAACTAAACATGAAACGGAACTCGTTAGATTACAATTAAGACTAATACACTTCCAACTTAAGAGGAAATATGCTTTACCATATGCGTAGATGCTGTCTGACTGGACTCCCCTTCAACTCTAACGACGGTGCTTGAACCAGTGTAGAAGTGACGAACAAAATCAGGTTCATGCTGAAGCACTTTATAGTATTGTTGCACGAAGTACGAGCCAACCTATTTATGGGAGAGAATAATAACAGAACGAATCAAAAAAGGGAAAGAAAGAAATCGAGATGCAGAGAAACGAATTGAATCCGCTAGTTCCTCATACCTGAGATGCGCTCAACGGAGCAGCCGAGCTTTCCATTCTCCCACTCTCACTCAGAAACCCTAGATGACAAGATTTCTGTGGCCGATGAATTCTGGTTCTTTCAATCCTCCGTATATAATTCTTAAAAAACGGCAAATATAATCCACCAATTAACTCTCCGTATTTCGTCGCGCGCAGAAGATGCAATCAAATCAAAGTTATGAAATCAACGAATCTCGGAGAAACACAAGAGGACGATAATGGAAACCTGAAGTCCAGGGAAGAGCGAATTCCGTAGATCTAAGCGGGAGGGAGGAGAAATTCAGTGGACTGAGAGATTGCGGCGTGGTGGGAAAATGAGAATCAGCGCCGTATATAAACACGGAGTAGAACTTTGGACGTTTGGTTGATGAATTTTTTTACCCCGCGATAAGAGGTAAAAGAATGTACGGTGTGTGATTGGAGAGATGAGAAATCGGACGGTGGGGATTCGAATGAGGGTAAAAGTAAGTGTGTGAGATATTTGTACCGACGACAGTGAATGTCTGAATGATCCATCCGTATGGGGAAAATATTCATGGGTTTTTTACCACTAAAAGCAAGAACTTACTGGATTCTCAAACGCAAAGGACTACAGGCATTCCTGTAACTTGCAGTAAGAGTTGGTCAGCTTAACCGGTAAAGGTTCTCACTCCTCACTTCCTCACCTCCTTTTTTTTAGACGTTTTTTCCCTTTTTTTTAGACGTTTTCTAATTTTCATTTTAGAAAATAGCATCACTTCTTTTACAGTGAAAATAACGTCACTCCTCACTTCCTCACCTCCTTTTTTTAGACGTTTTTTTCCCTTTTTTTAGACGTTTTCTAGTTTTCATTTTAGAAAATAGCATCACTTCTTTTACAGTGAAAAATAAACAAAATCGTTTTTTCAAAGGTCTACTTTTAGTTGGATTTTTTTTATTTTTAATATGCAATGTTGATATCATATGACAGATATAAAAAATGATATATTTTTTAAGAAAATTGGATTACAATGAAAAGGTTAAAACAAGTATCAAATACTCTGTAATAAAGAGTTGACCTGCCACATGTCAGACAACTAGGGGTGGTGTGAACATCGCCCACCCACCCCCTTGAAAGGGTGACAAAATTTTTTTAATTACAGTTGTTGAGGTTTATTCCTGAAGATCCGAAAGCCCAACACAAGCTTTGGATATTGTAAGGATGTTGGGTTGATTTGGAAAGTGTATAAAATATAAAACAGTGAAAGATTACTCAACTCAGGAGCTAACTTGTATTCAGTAATGCTGCAATTACACTGGACTACCCGAACGATAGGTGAGTATAAGAATACAAGAATAAGAGATACAATTCTATTTGCTAAGCTCTGAGTATCGAAATGCTAACCCTTTACAATGCTCTTAATGCAGGTATTTATACTAAAATGTGGATGGGTAAGCTGGACACGTGGCGGAATTCGGTAGGTTGTGACCTCTGCCATGTATGCACTCATGCTTCCACTTGTTGCTGCCATGTTCTAGCATTAAATGCGGCCTCCACTTGCTGACTACCCGTTTGGGTAGGGCGTTCGGTGTGCGGGACCCAACAGGGGTGTTTGGGTGTAGTTCTTTCCTGAAATACTCCAAGTATAAGGATTGTGCTGAATGCCGATCGGGGTGTTTGGGCTTTGGGCCTTATGTTTCCTCCTGGATTCCCCATACTTTGGGCCGGGGGTATTGGGCCTGGACCCAATACCCCCGATCTCCTGTTCGGGTCATCTCTTGTATTTCAAGCTAAAATGGAGACTCACCTCCAAGTTACAGCTTGGATTCCACCATAACGATTTCCCTTCGTCGTGGTTCGTCAAAGCTGTAGACTGAGGTAAGGTGTCTAATGCCCACCATCTTCCAAGCCCATAATTCTGATGCACCCGTTCGGTTCTGCCGTTCCGAGACATCCATATTAAGGGTTTGAGATGTCCATTTTCAAACTAAACACAAGATCTCCTGTACGGGTCATCTCTTGTATTTCAAGCTAAAATGGAGACTCGCCTCCAAGTTATAGCTCGGATTCCACCATAACGATTTCCTTTCGTCGTGGTTCGTCAAAGCTATAGACTGAGGTAATGATCTGTACGATCGGGGAATCAATCTCGAACAACAAGGTATCTTTATTCTTCGGCACTACCGGCCGGAAAATACAAAAGAATGAAAGAATGAGGAATGAAACAAAGAAAAAACTACGCTAAGGGAGGATCCTTGTTCGGCGCGGCATCAGATTTGGAGTTGGAAGGATCGGCTGAATCCTTGGCCTTCTGCCTCTTCTCCATCACCCGCTGATAAGCACGACAGAACAACATGTCAAAGCCTTCTTCCTTAGGATCAAAGGGCTCGGGGAAAGACTCCTTGATCACATCTAGATTCCGGTCGACCAGCATGTCCTGGCACTTAACCAGTGTGTCCTTGGCAAAGGCATTGATGAAGGCCGTGCCAGCAGGTGTCTCATCTAGAAGCTTGAGGTCATCAGTCACAGGATCCTTGCTCTTCTCTAAGAACTCGCCAAGATGCTGGCCAAGGAACTCCCGGGCGGTATTGGCCAGGGCGACGTTCAGGCCCTTCCCCATCTGGAAATCTATCACCGCCTGTTTGGTGATCTTTGAGGCATCAGCAGTACAGGGGGCAGGAGGATTCTCTCCCTTGACCTTCTCAATTCTCAAGCCAGAGGCTTCGGTCGCCTTCACCTTGGCACGAAGCTCGCGGATCTCCTGATCGCGCCGTTGGAGCCGTTTTTCCATCTCGGCCAGCTCCTCCCTAGCTTTATCTTCTTCAGTGGCCCGATCCTGAAGATCTGCAGCCATTTTCCTAGCCGCGGCCAAAAGGGTTTGGCTCTTGTCCCGCTCTTGAGCAAGGAGTGTCATCTCCCGCTCAGCCGCCAGGAAGGCCCGGTGATAATATGTACCGGCCTGAGAAAGGGAGAAACAACAGTAAGAGCAAGCCCGGAAAACATCAAAATGTGAAACTCGAACGGTCACGAACATACCTTGATACTCTTTAGATGGCCTGCTTCAACCAGATCAGACCAGTGGGTCAGGTTGGTGAAACCCTCACCGGCCTTCAAGGAAGTGCTGCACCACATGGATGATGCAATTTGCCTGAACAGTGTCCGGCCTTCGGCTCGGGGACCCATGGCGGAGAATTCCACCGTCAACCGATCGGGGATCGGGAAGTTATCAGGAGCAGAATCTCTCTTATTGCCAAGCAAGCACAGCTTATTGGGAGGAGAAGGAGCGGCATGCATCGCTTCCAAGTTAGGGTCCGTCAGATCAATGACTTGATCAATCGGGACCAGCTGACCACCGCTCTTGGTCCTGAGACGTTTATTAACTGGCCTGGATTCCCGACGGGCGAAAGAACCTTGCTGAGTAGCCTTCCCCTTCCCTTTATCAGTAGGAACGGTGGAGGAAGGGGTAGGAGCAGGATGCTTCGTAGGAACAGGAGGGATCACACCTGCGAAAAAAGACAAAGGAAAATAAGCAAAAGAAGTAATAGATTTACCGAACGGCCAAAATTATAAAGAATTTTACCAATGTCAGCGGCCAGAAGTTTGGAAGGAGTGAGGAAGGACCGAAGGTTCTTAGAACCGGCCGAATGGAACCGATCATATTGGCAAAGCAGGGTAGCATCCAACACAGGGGTGGTATCCTGTACGGGGTAAGTATTCCACCGATCGGGGAACGGAAGCGGTAACCCCACATGAACGAACAAGAATCGTTCCTCCCACTTCTCAGGTGGGGTGGGGTTGTCAGTAAAAAGGGCTCGGCCGGTGCGGGAAACCAGCCGCAGATACCCAGTGGTCTAGTATGGCTGGCAACTGTAGCAGTACATGTAGATTGTAGAGGTCAACATTGGGTGCGATCCCCAGATCATGGCACCAGACGATGAAGCCGTTCAGGATTCTGTATGTGCTAGGCATGAACTGGGACATCAATACTGATACCCGGCGAAGGAACTCCATAATAAAGGGGTGCAGAGGGAACCGAAGACCGGCCACTAGCGCATCCAGATGTACCAGCACGCACCCCGGGCGATGTCGCATGGGATGCTTGATAAACCCCGCATAAAACTGACGGGGTGGAGGTAATAACTGGCGCAGCGTTTGTTCGGTGTCTGCAGGGAGACGTTGACGCTGCTCCCTGATGCAATGGTAGGGTTGTATACGAATCGAATCAAGTCGAATAGTGAGATTTTGTATTTGTATTTGTTTAATTTTTTCGAATACGAATTCGAATTCAAATATGCAACGAATATTAATTTCGATTTGTATTTGTATTTGTTTAACAATACGAATAGTTAACGAATTATATACGAATATCGAATCGATTTGATTATAGGTTAAATATTAGTCAAATACGGAGTATCGCTTTAAAATAACTTTTCTTATACTCCATATTGTTTATGTTGTAAATGCATGCTATGACTTAATATGTGTTTTTAGAATTTAAATTTAATGGATCATTGCATTTTTAGATGGTGCACAATATACTAAGGTGAATTAATTTTATTATTAATAAATATAGATCTACTTCAAACCCTTTGAAATTAACACTAACCCACACATATTATAAATTATACTTATAATGTGTGAAATAAGTTAATAATTGTATATATCAAAGTCAAACAACTCTAATTTTATTCTTCAAATCGAATACATAATTATTTGTATTGTATTTGAAAGACATTTGAACCAAAAAATTGATTTGTATTCGTATTTATATTTTGGTTTATTACAAATAGGCTTGACATTTGTATGCAAAAATGTATATATGGATTACACTTTGAGAGTATTGCTATCTTTTAAAAGTTATTACTGTGTTATTACTATTTTTATTAATGTTGATATTAATATTACCATTATTATTAATCGAATATATTTGATTAATATTCGAATCGAATACACTGATATTCTTATTTGTATTTGATAACAACTCGAATCAAATTTAATATTCTTATTTGTATTTGTATTTGAATTTTCCGAATTCGAATTGTCTTATACGAATTCGAATCGCGAATCGAGCACAAATTATTTGATTCATTTACAACCCTATGCAATGGAAGTTCAAGCTATAACGGGAGGCCGTTCAGGCATACCCCTTTCATAAACAGCCATGTCATCGCCCGATTGGCACCCATCATCAGGGAGGGGCTGTCGGGTCGAAGAGATGAGGAAGAATCATTGGAGCTCGACGATCGGGCAGACGTACCTTGATCTTTGGGGTGAGCCTTTCCCCTAAGGAGACGAATCAGTGTAGGCGCCATTTCCTCGGAATCCGAAGAACCAGAGAAAGCAGACATAAACTAGCGAAGAAGAATTAATTCTAGAGAGAGAATGCTTGAAGGAATTGGGAAGCAGCAGAAAGTCCA